AAAAAATTTATCTTTGTTTTTGAAAGTATTACAGATGTCCTCTTTTTTCCCCATTGACACTCCTTCCCCAGTCCTGACCCCTCACCAGGCCTTCACCCCACTATTGTCCATGGGTTATGCATATATACATATAAGTTCTTTGGTTGATCTCTTCCCTCCCTCACTTATGTTACATGCTTCCATGTCTTTCGATCTATTTTGTTTGTCAGTTTATTTTGTTCATTTGGTTCCACATATAAATAATATCATGTGATATTGTCTTTCTCTGACTGGCTTATTTCACCTAGCATAATACTTTCCAAGTCCCTCCATGCTGTCTCAAAGGGTAAGAGATCCTTCTTTTTTACAGTTTGCACAGTATTCCATGGTGTAAGTGTACTTCAGCTTTTTTATCCACTCATGCACTGACGGGCTGTTTCCAGATCTTAGCTATTGTAAATTGAGCTGCTATGAACATAGGGGTGCATACATTCTTTCTGATTGGTATTTCTGGCTTCTTAGGATGTATTCCCAGAAGTGGGAATGACTGGGTCAAATGGCAGCTCTATTTTTAATTTTTTGAGGAAACTCCACACTATTTTCCATAGTGGCTGTGCCAAGCTGCATTCCCACCAGCAGTGTACTAGGGTTCCTTTTTCTCCACATCCTCGCCAGCACTTGTTTGTTGATTTATTGATGGTAGCCATTCTGGCAGGTGTGAGGGGCATATCATTGTTATTTTAATTTGCAACTCTGTGTTGATTAGTGACATTGAGCATTTTTTCATATGTGTCTTGGACATTTGTATGTCCACTTTGGAGAAGTGTCTGTTCAGGTCCTCTGCCCATTTTTGATTGGATTGTTTGTCCTTTTGTTGAGTTGTATTGAGTACTTTATATATTTTGGAAATTAACTCCTTATCAGCTATTTTATTAGCAAATATGTTTTCCCATACATTGGGTTCCCTTTTCATTTTGATGCTGGTTTCTTTTGCTGTGCAGAAGCTTTTTATTTTGATGTAGTCCCATTCATTTATTTTTTCCTTTGTTTCTCCTGCCCTACGCATTGTATCAGTGAAAATTTTGCTATGTGAGATGACCTTTAAACCAAACAGGGGTTCTTTTTCTGGAAGAGAACAAAATATTGCTCATATAGAGGAGTCATCTGATATTATGTGACATTTACCCTTGATCTTCTTAGAGGTAATTTGGGAAGTCTTCATTAGACAAAACCAGATTCTTTCCATATGGTGCCTTACACACCTAATGATTCTAGAGAATCAGCTCCTACATCTTGCTGGTGCTGCCCTTGTGTTATGTATGTTTCAAGCTCTTCAGATTGATTGTGAATCTTTGGCCTCAGGCTGCACTTGATGTCACAGGTCTTTCTGGTTTCATTTATGTATACACAAGGGAATTTGCTTTCCTGTCTTTGAAGCTATATTGATGCATCTTGACCTTCTAAGCCATGTAAAACCACCTACCAGACCATTTAAAACCCAAAGCTCCAGTGCATGAAACATTCATAGGAAAGGGAATAAATTTCTGCTAGAATTATTTATAATTCTCTAGTATACAATTTAATATACAAATGTACACTTTAATCATACCAAATCACCCTTCCTGAAAAAGGCATTTGCTACATGCATATATGCATATAAATTGTTTGTAGGTGAAAAACATTGATGAATATCCTATGTATACTGTACATAAATTTACTAGTATTATTTATACATGAGATTTTCCATTAGGAAACATCATTCAATAAATATTTATCAGACACCTACTATGTAACAGGCACAGTGGGTTTGCCTTGGGTGAAAAAGGCCATAATGTCCATGTTCTTGTGGAATTTACATAATTATTCTCTGCAAATGATGCCTTTATGAAGGAGAAAATAATTCTGAGCCCTGGATTCGCTATTTTGGACTATTTACACATTCATGTTTTTAATAACTATAAGCTTTTATTAAAATAGAAGAGGCCCAGTGCACAGATTGGTGCACTGGTGGGGTTCTCAGCCTGACCTGTGGGGATCCAGCTGAAACTGGCTCTCCGAAATCCCCCAAGGGGTCCCAGATTGTAAGAGGGTGCAGGCCAGGCCGAGGGACCCCACTGGTGCACAATCAGGGCCAGGGAGGGACCGCAAAAGGGCTCCAGGGTATGTCCACCTTGTCTAGCCCAGTCCCAATGGGGGGCAATCGGGGCAGATCAGAGCAGGCCGTCCAGGGAGGGACCGCGGGAAGTTGGCAAGCTGGAGAGGGACCGCAGGAGGACTCCAGGGCTTATCCAGCTTGTCTTGCCCAGTCCCAATTGGCTGGACCCCAGCAGCCATCTAACCTTGTGGTCGCAGTGTCTGCCCCCTGGTGGTCAGTGCACGTCATAGCAACTGGTTGAACGGTTGAACGGTTGGACACTTAACATATTAGGCTTTATTTATTTATTTTTTTAAAAAATACATTTTATTGATTTTTTACAGAGAGGAAGGGAGAGAGATAGTTAGAACCATCGATGAGAGAGAAACATTAATCAGCTGCCTCCTACACACCTCCTAACAGGGATGTGCCCGCAACTAAGGTACATGCCCTTGACCAGAATTGAACCTGGGACCTTTCAGTCTGCAGGCCGATTCTCTATCCACTGAGCCAAACTGGTCAGGGCATGGCTTTATTATATAGGATAATGTATAGACCTAGAGACATGAACAGACTCTCGAACCTCAGAGGGAAGGCAGGGGAGGGTGGGCGGGAAGAGATCAACCAATGAACTTGTATGCATATATGCAAAACCCGTGTACGCAGACAGTGGGTTGGTGAGGGCCTGGGGAGGATGGGAGTGGGCTGGAAGAGGTTAATGGGGGGAAAAGGGGAACCTATGTAATACTTTCAACAATAATATTTATACAGAAATAAGTATACAAATCAAGTGTACAGCTCAGAGCATTTTCATCAAGTGAACACAGTCATGAAATCAAAAACCAGGTCAAGAAACAGAACATAATTACTGAGTAAATTAAGCAAGACCAAAAATTACATGTATATGATTCCATTTATATAAAATGCAGTAAAGTACAGGCAATGGTTGCTGGGGGATTAAGGAGCATGAGATGGAGGGATTACAAAGAGGCATGAGAAAACTTCTGAGAGTGATGGGATATGCTTACTCTCTTGATTGATGTTTTCAGAGGTCTATATAGATCAAAATGTATCCAATTGTACACTGTGAGATAGCCCATTTATTGTCTATCAATCATATTTTTCAAAAGTTGTACTTTTTTTAATTTGCAAAATTAATTTTGGGAGTAATTACTCAGAAGGGACATGAGGAAGCCTTCTGGTTTGATAGTTTTCTTTGGCCTGATATAGGTATATAGGCAAAAAAAAAAAAAAGTAGCAAAAAAAAATAAATAAAAGCTGTGTATTTCAGATTTGTGCATTTCACTGTATTTAAGTTGCAACTTCATAAAAATAAATTTTACAAAAAAAGTTAAAAATAAAAATAATAGTAACAGAACATTATCATGCCCCAGAAGCCCCTTTTTAAACCTGATCCAGTTACCAAACTTCCCAAGTTAACCACTTTTTTGACTTTTAGCAACATAGACTAGTTTTGCTTTTTAAAATCCTCACCTGAGGACAGTTTACTGATTTGTTTAAGGAAGGGAGGTAAAGAGGGAGGGAAGGAGGGAGGGGGTGAGAGAGAGAGAAACATCGATCAGCTGCCTCCCATAAGCGCCCTGATAGGGGATCAAACCCACAACCTAGGTGTGTGCCCTGACTGAAATTGAACCCATAACCTTTTGGTGCATGGGATGACACTCCAACCTACTGAGCCTCACTGGTCAGAGCTAGTTTTGCTTTGTTTTGAACTTTATGGAAATGAAATAATATGGTATATTATCTTTTGTGTTTGCCTTCATGCGCTTAGCATTATGCTTGTGAGATTTATCTGACTTGTTATTTGTGGTTGGGTTCATTCATCCTCCTTGCTATGTAGTATTCCATTGTATAGTATAATTCATTATTTATTTTATCATTAAGGACATTTGGACTATTTCTAGTTGTTGTCTGTTACTGAAAATGTCACTATCAAGATTTGTGTACATGTCTTTAGGTGAACATTTCTGTTGTGGATACACTTTTGAGTTGGAGTGCTGGGTCACAGATTATGTACATATTCACCTGTATTACATACTGCCAAGCAGTTTTCTAAAGTTTTATACCAAGGTACAGTCCCACCAGTAGTGTATAAAAGTTTATTACTCTATATCCTTGCCAAATATGTCATTATGTGCTTTTTCATTTTTTGTTTGTATTTTAAGTTTAAAAAACTAGCAATTGGGCTTTATGATAAACAATGAGGCATCATCAAATTTATAGCAACAGTGATAATCCCTTGGATTTTTGGTCTATGCCAGTGATTCAGAATGGTATCATATTGAATTACAAACTCTATTTAACTGTTGCCAGAATTAAAGCCACTGTGTACAATGGAAAATCCTGTAAAAGTTTGCCTTTCTTACATTTGAAGTCATGGCTTTTTCAAGCCAGCAATAGTAGACCACTTTTTTTTTCAATAGGTCCAAGTTAGAACAAGTAAAAAATGCTTACAGGTCCCTTTTTTAAATTTCAAAATACACATAACTTTACTGAGACCTAGGGAAGAAATATATAGTTGGATGAGAGATATCAAGTGGAAATTTGGAGCAACTACTGGCCAGTAAATGATTAACATCTGACCATATTTGAGAAATGGCTGTTGGGAGATAGCTGCCATCCTGAAATAGCTTGTCAACCATATTGTAAAGCCAGGAAGGCTAACTCTTAGACCAAGACCCTTAAGAGGGAGCTGTAATGGCAAACCATCCAGCCCCTACCCCCTACCCTGCTTTAACTGCACATTACAAAGGAGGAATTGTACATATAATGGATTCAGGCCCCAGGCCCGTCCAGAAGGGCCCAGTTGAAGTAAAGAAGAACCCTATTCTTGGAAAGATGCTGATGGTTTCCCCTTTCTTTTCAGTCCAAGATTTACACTCGCACACCAACCTTATATTTGGACTTCAAATTGGACCAAGGAGCAAAGCATTCCCAGCCTGTTCCTAAAGGTATGATGGGTTCTGGGGTTTAGTGATCATTTCAGGAAAAAAGGAGGGAGGGTACTTGCTCTGGAATGTTCTTGATTCTGAACCTCAGCACAAAGGTCTATGAATTTAGTCTATGTTAAATTATGTGTAAACTAGCCAATATTGATGGGTCCTTTCAAGTTATGAAAATCATAGAATATTAGGGCAGGACCCTCTGGGCCACTTCCCTCATTTTACAGGTATGAACACCAAGACCTAACAATTAGCTAGGTATCAAGGCCACGTAAAGGCTTACTGGACAAGGCAGGGTTTTTACGCATGTCTCCTGACTTCCTGGCTACTATTGATTTGCAGTGTTCCTGGAGGCAAATTCAGACCTTCTTACTTATGAGCAAGCACATCTTTAATTGAGATACACATCTTTGATTGAGGTACACACATCTTTGATTGAGATATACACATTTCTTGAAAAAATATTGCTATGGAATACTTACCTTTATGTTGACATTTAAGTACAAAGAATACTAGTAATTAGAAAACTCCCAGGAATTTAAGGCCAATTTTATTAAAAAAAAAATAGAACCAGAGACCTGGAAACATGGAACAGACTACTGGATCTCAGAGGGAAGAGGGAAGGAGCGGGGTGTGGGAAGAGATTAACCAAAGAATTTACACACATATATGCCGTGCCCTTGAACACAGACAATAGGGTATTGAAGGCCTGAGGTGGGGAGGGAAATGGGTGGAAAGGGCAAGTGGGAAAAAAGGGAGGACATCTATAATACTTTCAACAATAAAGATTTAAAAAAAGAACACTTAAAAGAATGGTTACACCTGAGGTTATTAGACAGCAACCTCAGACTCATTATTTTCTTCTTTGTTTTTTTTTTTTCCATTCTGCTTATTAACAAACAAAAACAAATTAAGTCATTCACTTAAACATATGCCTACCCTTATACATAATTTTTATGACAATAAGTGTGGTAGCATACATACTTTAATTTTTTCTTTTTGTTTTGAGTTTGCGTCCCCACATTCCCTTTTCCTCCCTTACCAGCCCATAGTAATACCTTCTCTATATATCCCACAACTAGGGGAAATCACAGATGTATCCACACTTACTTTTGTACACTAACATATATATGCATGTAAATATACACATTTTGGGGGTTATTTTGTTATTGTTTTACTAAAACTCATGTATGTATAAGGAATAGTTGTAAAATTCAATGAACTAATGAACTCTAAAACTGAGAGGCAGAAGGAAAATGAGCGGGATTAAGCCAAGGAATGTAGGCCAAGTAAAGCTCTCACTAGGGACCTTTGCAAGAATTGGGAACCTCCATGGAAATGAGAGCAAATGCCACAGAAAATGATTTACATATTTAAAAGCAAAGTTTTACATTTTTTATGTTTGACTAAGGGAGTTCTGACTTAAATATGTTACTGATTAAACTGTCCTACAGGGCCAGAGGTAAAATGTGACCTCCATCCCAGCTCATTTTCTTTCTTATTGCCTGAGGAAAGGGAAGAGTTTCCCAGCTGCAAAGAGCCAGTAGCTTGGAGAGGACATTTGTAGAAGACAGGAAACTGTAGGGCCAGTGACCTCTGACAGCACAATAAAAATGTGGGGATGGTATCATTCCTAGTGCAGGACATAAAAGTGGGAGGAGAGGTGGGGGAAGAAAGTGAAGAAGAATTTGAAAATCTCACAAGATAACTCTTTGCTGATGCAAGGCAGAGAAGGAAATCTAATAAAATGTGGTGGTTCTTAAACAATTTGGCTCTTACTTTGCTGTAGTTTTAAGAAACAATGCTTGATGGAATTAATCTAAGTTTAACAGAAGCAAGAGCAGAAGAACATGTTAAAAAGAAGGGGGGGGGGGAGGAAATCGCCCCTGTTCCTATACCATTCCCTCTAACCCTGTGTCTTCCAACTAATAGCATGAATTATGTTATTACTAATGAAGTTGGATTCTATATCCTAATAGGAGACTTTTTTTCACAGGGCAAAAATAGGTGAATGTACTTTATAGATTGACTTGGCCATTCCTTTAAGCAAATATTTGGTCCTTTTGGATCATGTAAGAAAATAAACAGGGAAAGAAAACAGACCCAGGCAATTATGTGTAGACTAGTTTTCTGCTTGGAGGGTAAGTAGGAATGAAGCAAAGTGGGTAGAGGAGACATGGTATTAGAACAATCAAAATAGTCCCAAATAAAAATCTAGTTTAGCAGGTGAAAACTTTGAGGTTCTGTCAAATTCAGAAACCATTACTTTTTAATACCTTATATAAATTACAATGTGTCCTTACAATAGAATGCTTTTCAGTCCTTCCCAAGGATGAGTTATTTATCTAAATTTTTACATGGAAATGTATCCAAACAGATTATTGAGTTAATTCTCATTTTTAAGCAAACAATATATAGTGTATAAAAGATAAAAGAAACTTAAAGTACAAATACAGAAATACTAACAATATTCATGTCAGGATAAGTATGAAGATTGCAGAAAGATTTTTTTTGTTTCGATAACATCCCATACTTTCATGGTATTAAAATACAGGGATGGGCAAAAGAGGGTTTACAGTTGTTCATACAGAAGAATACACGCAGATTATTACAATAGCTTTATTAACTCAAAAGAATTTCATTCACAATTATAAACATACTTTTGTCCACACCTGTATTTTCAAGTTAATGTGTATTACTTTTTATAATGGAAAAATCAATAAGATATTTATACTTTGAAAAAGAAATTTAAACAATTTTCCATGGTGAAAATTTTAAAAAGCAGCTAAGGAAGGGAAGGAATGGGTTTTGTTTCAGAATTTAATATAAATCAGGCTAAATAGGACTAGGGAAGCTTAGCATCAGTACAAAGCAGAGAGAGAAGTCCTCTAGTAGAGCCAGCCCATCCTGATAAGACACATGGAATTGGGGCTGTAAATTGTTAGCATGTATTTTTACATCTACCACGAACCTCCCTCCCTGAAATTACATGACTTGAAAATTTGGCTGTGCCTTATTCATCTTCCTATCTCTACCCACAATGAGTGGTAAATGTTCACTGAATGATGGATGGTAGACCGAACTTAGAAGACTGAGCGAGTAGGTCAGTAAGGGAGAAAAAGTGTGAGTGAGCTATGAGCATATCGTATTACTTCCAGAGGCTTTAAAACTTATTCTAATAAAACCTCAGAGAGAAAAAACTGTGTCCTCTATTAGAGGACTCAGTTAGAGCCCTGCTCTTCCACCTTGAACTCTGCCCTGTATTCACTTCCCAGGTTCTTCCCTGCCCTTCCCTTCCCTTCTCTTCTCAGGTTCTTCCCTTCCCTTCCCTTCCCTTCCCTTCCCTTCCCTTCCCTTCCCTTCCCTTCCCTTCCCTTCCCTTCCCTTCCCTCCCCTCCCCTCCCTCCCCTCCCCTTCCCTTCCCTTCCCTCCCCTCCCCTCCCTTCCCCTTCCCCTCCCCTCCCCTCCCCTTCCCTTCCCCTCCCCTCCCCTCCCCTCCCCTCCCCTCCCCTCCCCTTCCCTTCCCTTCCCTTCCCTTCCCTCCCTCCCCTCCCCTCCCTCCCCTCCCTTCCCTTCCCTCCCTCCCTCCCCTCCCTTCCCCTTCCCTCCCCTCCCTCCCTTCCCTTCCCCTCCCTCCCCTCCCCTCCCCTCCCTCCCCTCCCCTCCCCTTCCCTTCCCTTCCCTTCCCTTCCCTTCCCTTCCCTTCCCTTCCCTTCCCTTCCCTTCCCTTCCCTTCCCTTCCCTTCCCTTCCCTTCCCTCTTCCCTTCCCTTCCCTTCCCTTTTTTTTTTTTATTATTGGCAGTATTACAGATATGTCTCCCATTTTGTCTCTCTTTGACCCTCTCTCGGCTCTTTTCCTTTTCCACTGAAGGCATGGAGTGACATCCTAATTCCATTTTGAGCTTGCCATTTATAGATTCATGTCTCTCAGTGGTACCAGAGGATCTCTTCTGGGCTATGAGTACAATACATAAATGTCCATGAAAATCCAGTGCTGGTACTCAAAGATCCAAAGGCAGGTGGTTCATGGTTCTGAGCCCTTGGCTCCATGGGTCACAGTAGGAATTTGGTGAGTGCTGTGTACCCTCTTCACAGAAAAGTTTCCACACTAGAAAAATTGTGGGGACAGTTCCAGGGAGTGCACAGGCTGTCTAAAACCTATTTGTGGCCCCATGGATTATGCATCCCTGGATCTCATACTTTATTTTATGATAGATAAGAAGAAATGAGTTCACTGAAAACTAACGTGCAACTAAGTAAAGGAAAGCATATTTCTAGCATTTGGTTCCTGGAGAGAAAGAAGCACAATGAACTATAGATAAGCCAGATTGGTGTGTTGCAGTTATTAGCATGATGTTACAACTGGAAGGAACAGTTTGTTAATATAGCAGTTGGCATATAGATATATAGATATATATTGCCAAGAAAATTGTACACTGTCTATTTGGGTGGCTCTACAACATTTGGGGCCAAATCATTTAGGTTTAGGAATGTGTGGGTGTGTCCATGTGTGAGTGTGTGTTTTAAACAGTTCACAGAACTTAAATTTTTAAATATATGCCTAAAAGGAAATAAAGGATTTCATCTCCAAATTTATCTTTTATATCTGTTATATAAATTTATACATTTATATTTCATATATTTATATTTCATATAGATATTGTTAAATATTGTTATATCTTTGTTCCTTTTGGTATTGTAGACACTAACCTTTTAATTTTGCTGGTCCTTTTTCAGGGTGGACAAGCTTCATTTATACCATTTCTGGAAATGCATATATTGGTAAGTGATGTGTACGCTACTTTGGGTTCAATAGCAATATAATTTAAATTACCGAAGGGGAGGAAAGGTAGGAAAGATGGGATGAACCTTTTTATGTAATTAAATACTACACTTCCTTCTGTCCAGCATCAGCTCTCTTTACATCCTAGTATATCCCGGTACACCCAGAGTGGGTCACCACTCAGCTTCCAGCATGTTCAGAGAGGGAGGAGAAGACAAACACCAGTCATGACATCAGCCATTTCACTGTGGCCTGTGTGCAGATATAAGGTCCAGGCATGATTACGTGGGTTGACACTTTGCTAAGATCTTGACAACCTCCATACTGATAAAGGGATGGAGTTCTAGCAGGCTCCCAGGGGTGGAAGGTGGTTTTCTCTTATTCTAAGGGTTGTATATACTAGTATGTCGCTTGTTGAGTCTAGTCTAGAAGGGATGTTCAAGACTCAAGCAACTCTCATTTTATAGATGAAGAAAGTGAAGTCTAAAGAAAGTTATTTAACTTGCTAAGGTTAGATCCAGGACCAGAACCAAGAGTTCCTCACTCCACCCTACACTCCACCCTACACTCCACCCCATATTCTTTGTACAATGACAATGCAGTGACCATACCATCTAGCTTGTCATCCTAGCTCCTCAGGGCCCACTGACCAACTTCCTGCTGTCAGTAATGTCTATGTCTCTTGGCTTGAGACTTTTTATGAAACCTGGGAAGGCTGTTCTAGCCCCAGCCAGTGCTGGAGAATTGACATTCCTGGGAGCTACCTCACTCGTCAGGTGGGATGACTCTGAGCCTGTGAGTGAGGCCTTTTCCTAAAGTTTCCTGTGGGATTATGTTCAAGCAGCCCACTGTGGGTGTGTGTTTGATAACACCCTTCATTGTCTGCCTTCCCTTTCCTAACTTTCTTGGACTGGTGTTTCCTAGGACTGCCTCCCAAATAAACACCTTGTACTCAAATATGCATGAAAGGCTTTGCTTCTGGGAAGACCTAAAATAAAAGAACCAGCTTTACCTCTCGCCTTTCCTACCCTATATGGACAGTGAAGGGTGGTGTGGATGGGGGGTGGGGGACAGTACCTGACTGCTCCAAGGGATTCTGTTTCTGAGAGCTACAGACCTGAGGCTTGGTTCTTTAGATTATCTGATGCTGACCAGAACCTTATTGTCCTGAGGGCTCAATGATTAAGGGAGTGAGTGTGAAAGGGGGAAGGAGGCAGGTGAGTCAGGTGCTGGATGAGGCCAGTTTGAATCAAAAGGAAAGACATTAGAAAAGGTCATATTGAAAAAATTAAGTTACATCATGAAATACTACTCTTTTACGTTTAAACATGTAAAAACTTTCTTAGTGGGCACTACAAAAATAACATTTGATTCTGGTTAAAATGTTGTAAGGAGAAAGGGGAGAAAAATTAACAAATAATCCCAAACCCATTTTAATCAGTAGTTATAGCCTTGTTTTCTGACCTTAATTAAGTCTAAGAATTTATAGGTAAAAAGCTCAACAGTTCAAGGGGGGCGGGGAGAGAATGAATTACACATCGATTTGTTGTTCTGTAGGTGAGGCATATTTTCCTGAGTCATCTCTACTCACTGGCCTGGTCCCTCTCATGACCATGAGCCACAAATGCAACACATCTGGCAGGAAATGGGGTCACAGTCTATAGCATGGGAGTGAACTTGCATCTGTCCAGAGTAAACTGGACCTTGGAGAGAATCCAGCTCATAAAATGGGCCTCTTGGGATTCTGCTTTAGCCAATGAGTGACTGGCCAGATTACCTCATTTGAATATTATCTCCTTCCTTTCCTTCTGTGGACCTCCTAACAGAGATGTTAATGAGAAAAACAAAAGGGCAAAAACAAATCACTAGAGAAAAAGAAATGACAAAGTAGAAATAGCTATTGAATGTATACTGATTTATAAAATCTATAGAGAGAATTCAGAAAATGCTTTCTGACTTTGCCTCAATTTTATCTTCCTTATAAAACCAGGATGGTACCTGTCAGCCACAGATTGTAGGAGCTGATAAGCAAGTGATTATTCTTGTCAAAATGTCAAGCACCTCTATTCTGTTTAAATGGGTATTATAAATATATATACTTTGTGCATCAGGCTGCATTAAATAGACACTTTGGGCTCAGAAAATAATCTGAGGCAGTTCCATAAAATGGAGATTTAGGAGGACTATTAAAATATTAATTGATGCAGGAAGTGCTTAAAAGATGAACATCAGTAGATTTAGAGTATAGACAGGTGAAGTTTTGAACAGTAGAAAATGCTGGATGTCTAAGTTAGTCCAACAGTTTAAACTTCAAGGTGAGTATGGTGAAGCCATGGAATGGTCTTCTAATGACACCCTGAAGAAAAGAAGGAGTTAACAGAAATAAAATAAGTTGAGTAGAATTAATACTTTTTATTTTAAAAAGTATGCATTTGAGATGTCTTATGCTTGTCTGTGATCTTAATTTTTGATACATTGTTTTTTTCAAGCCTTCTAAGCTGGCAATTAAACAGTAGCTTTAGAAATTGTCCAGGAGAGAGGTATCTTTGACACAATCTTTTACTGAGGCAGAAAGTCCTGTGATCAGCTCTTAGCTGAAATCTTTGCAGTATATGATTTTAAAAATCCAAAGAAAAGAATAAAAAGAACTACATGGCCAGAAAACCAGTAGATCCCACAGATACTAGCACTGAACCCCTTCCTTATAGCTGTAGTGAAAATGGCATTACACATTAACACGGAGATCAAAAGGATAGAAAAGTTTAGATCCTGTATTCCTGAAGCTTGGGACAGTGTATCAGCCTGGATTCCAGTCCCCTAGAAGGACCATTATCAAGTTTACTGTTGGGGCTTGGAAAATATATTTAGGAATAAAAAATATTTGTGATTATTGAATTGACAGCTAACTGACTTATGGGTAGTAAAATGTTTCAAACTTATTTAATTAAGTAATTATTCATGCTTAGTTTGTGCTCAATTCTTTGCTTCTGGTTCTGGGTAGTATTAAGAAGTTTGACACAACTCCTGGATATCAAGAAAGGTGAGGAAACACACTAGAAGCCCTCCTAATTGACCTCCACTTACCCAAAATGAACTGGACTAACTAATGTGCTTCATTTCATGGTGATTACCTTGAGTGAGGTGCCTGAACACCAGGATAACCAGCTCCCTTAAGCTACCTGCCCATGGCCACTCCTTCCAGCCAAATCCAAGTGAATTTGGCAGTTATGAGTGCTCTCAAATCTGTTTATGCCAGTTGCACCAATAATTGCAATTATGCAGTTTAATTAAACAAGATGTAAATTAATGAAATAATGTGAAAAGTTAGTTTTTCTAGAACAGCTAAGTCAAATGCTATGTAAACATGGACTAAAGAAAAGTTTTGAATTAGTATGAGAGAGGTGACAGTAAAAGATTGGGGGAAACTATAATAATCTAGAAGGACTTCAGTGGCTCATTATGTACATGCTGTATAAGGAAAGATCGTGCTTCAATCCAATCAGCAGACCTGCCTTGGCTTTCTTTCTAAAAAATTGCCAAATGAAGGCACCATTACGCTTTCATTTAAAATAAAATGTTTAATACAGTTTGTCTTTTTCAGTTAATGAGCTTGATTGAATTAGATAAGAAGGCTACAACTGTATGTATAAAATTGATGATGTCAAAAATCTATGATGGAAGTACCAGAGTATGTGGACTAGACTAAATGGGGCAGCAGTTCTTACAAAGAGAAGTAAAAGAAAAGGGAAAGCTAGCGTGTAGGGGAAAGCTGCACAGCAATTAATCACATACTATAGATGTAGCACTAACTTTAAAATATGTTTTAAAATATTTTGCCCTTTTATAACTGTTTGGGCAAACAAAAATATTTATAATTCAGTTGTTTTCAGTTAAATTTGCCTTAACTGCACTATTAGGTTTAACATTCTTGGCCAAGCTTCTCAATGGAAACTATTTATTATCTGATTTGGCTCCATTTATCATTCAAAGTAGTCAGAAACAATAAAATATATTTTCTTGGAGACTTATTTCATTCTCAGGAGATAACCAGATGGGTTAAATAGCATAGAAATGACCTGATGATAGAATCAGTCTTTGCTTTCTTTGATCCTGTTTTAAATATTTCAGAAGAGAATACAGCAGGTAAGGTACACTTAGAATGATTAACCTGGAAACCCGACTCCAGTATCCGTAAGAAAGGATTTAAATTTTAAAAAATAAAACTAGTTTTATTTTTTAGGGGAGCATTTCAAAGGGGCTCTTCAGGATCAACACTGTGCTTCCTCTCCTGGATCAGCAAGGACAATAAGCAGAAATGACATTTCTTATAAAGCTAGAATGAGAGCTCATAGGAAAACACGAGTTCTTTGTTTCTAAATAAAGATTTTCTCACAGACCAATGAACACCATAGTCAAGCAAGCCCCTGGTAGGAGGTGCAGAAAAATCCCAATCCAGCATTCTTTTTGAGAGCTGTCTCTTGCCAGCTTACTCCATTAAAATATAGGGAAGGGGCTGTACAATTATTTGAGTCTATGTATCAGGAACCATCCTGCATGATGAAATTAGGGGCCAGGAGTAGACCATGTGAGTAATGGGTTTCATGTATGAATTAATTGAAGGTAAAGACATGATTCATTGCTCCCAGAAAATCTCAGTAAAACACACTTAATAAAATGCTGCTTTATATCACAGTTAAAAATATTACCCTCTGTATCTATTATTGTTCAAAAGTTTATAATGGTCTCTATTATCCATGAATGAGTGAGATCATATGGTATTTTCCCTTCATTGACTGGCTTATTTCACTTAGCATAATGCTCTCCAGTTCCATCCGTGCCGTTGCAAATGGTAAGAGTTCCTTCTTTAACAGACTGTCAAACTGCAGCGGGAAGGCCGGGCAGGGTTGGGGGGCAGGAGGGAGGGGGGTAAGAGATCAACCGAAGGACTTGTATGCATGCATATAAGCATAACCAATGGACATAAGACACTGGGGGGTGGGGGAGGCCAGGGGATTGTCAAGGGCGGGGGGGGGGGGGAGGACACATATGTAATACCCTTTGTAATACTTTAAGCAATAAAAAAAAATATTACCCGACTTTAAATGAGATTATTCTTAGATTCCCAGAACTCTCTTTTATTGTCAAATCCTTGCATGAGTGGAAAAATAAACAGAGTTCTATCATTCACTTCCATGGCATTTGTTGGCCTAAATCTTGGATAGAGGAAAAAGCCTTTAGTGGTATGCTGGGGCTGGCTCCTGCCAGCTTTCAAGAGCTGGTTGTGCACCTCTTCCCTGACCTCACATTGGTAGCTTGAAATTGGCCACAGTGGGAGCATTTACATCACATAAATTGGCACAAGCTGCAAATCAGATTTGTTCTCCCCCTTGTCTTCAAAAACTAGTTTTATTTTTTAAAATTTAAATTCTTTATTGTTTAAAATATTACATGTCTCCTTCCCCCCCCCATTGACCTCTCCCCAGCCACTCCCACCCCCCAGCACATGCTGTCACCCCCCTATACTGTCTGTGTCCATTGGTTATGCTTATATGCATGCATACAAATCCTTTGGTTGGTCTCTTACCCCTCCCCCCACCCCAAACCTCAGAGGCAAAACTAGTTGATTAGCACACCGCTGCCTCCGGGACAGAAGTTCTTGATCTTTTTTTGTGCCATGGACCCTTTTGACATTTGCCAAGGCCCCACCTCTGAACGATGTATTTTTTAACTCATTAAAGTCATTAAAACGTTAAAAGAACAAGTTTGTGATGTAGTTATATGTCTGCGTCTCTAACGGCATTTGAAATAACATGATCCAGCAGCCAGTATACTCTGAATTCTAATTAGTGATTAGCATAAAGTGTATTTTGAGATATCTGTGACACTGTAATGTGATACGAAAACATCTGTGGTTTCTACTGGAGACAAAATCATTGGTCCAGTTAATACTATTGTGCTTTGTTGGCTATATTCATAATTGAAAGAAAGACCACATTTCAGTTAGGTGTTAGTGAAAATAAAGATGTAATTTATCTCCCATCCTAGTTTGTGATTGCTCTGAATTCTATCCACAGACCCCTTGGGAACACATTAACTCTGGGTTGAGAACTCCTTCCCTATTAGAATCCTATTTCATGTTCGTGCACGTCAGAATGAACCCTGTTGCATCATATAGATTATCGGCAAATTGGAGGATTTCTCTAGAAAATATAGCTATATTTGGACTCCAAGCAATATTCACAAAATTCAAAAATTATGTTTCTGTTCATATAGCTCCTTCAGCAATTATTTTTATTTCAATAGGCACTTCCTTATTGATTATTATTGTCCTATAGGTGTATCTGCCTAGACATCTTTCTGAGCTTCTTACCCTACTTAGAATTTTCTTTCTGTTGTCTGTTCCCATGGCTATTCTGTCCTGCTTTAGCATCTTCATTCTCTAGCTTTCTCTTGACGAACCACTGTTGTAATCTTCAGGTCACTACATTATTCTGCTCCTAGTGAGAATCATATTAGATTCTTCTCTCCCCCACTGTTGCCAAATCCTTTAGATTATTTCTCAACTCTACCTCTCAAATCCACACCTATTTTTGTGTATCCACTCTCTCAGTTCAGACCATAATTCATTTTCACTTAGAGTGTTACAATAAACTCCCAATAGGTTATCCTAACTTCAGTCTTACCCCCTCCAACTTATTCTGTGCTCTGCTCCAAGAGTTATTTCTCCAAGATGCAGATCTCTCTCTCCTCTCTCTCTCTCTCCCTCCCTCTCTCCCTTCTCTCTCTCTCCCTTCTCTCTCTCTCTCTCTCTCTCTCCTCTCTCTCGCTCTCTCTCTCACATACACACACACACACACACACAGACACACACACAGACACATACACACAGACACACACACAGACACATACACACACACAGACACAGACACACACACAGACACACACATAGAGACACACACACAGACACATACACACACACACACAGACACACACACAGACACACACATAGAGACACACACACAGACACATACACACACACACACAGACACATACACACACACACACAGACACACACACACAGACACACACACACAGACACACACACAGACACACACACACACAGACACACACACACAGACACACACACATACACACATACACACACACACAGAGACACACACACAGAGACACACACAGACACACACACACAGACACACACACAGACACATACACACACTTTCATCAAAGGCCCTCCATTCTATGTGGATGAGCATGGCCTTCAGGTCTCACTTTGATCTACTTTTCCATCTACTTTTTTAAATCTACTTTTCTAGTCTACTTTTTCATCATTCTTCCCAGAAGAATGTTCCAGCAATTGTAGAAGATTCACTGTTCTCCCAGAGATGCCCTGCACATTCCCAGTGCCTTACCTTTGTACAGTCTGTCCTCTTATCTAGAATGCCCTTCATCCTAACTTTGCCTTTTGTGTGGTTCCTCTAGTATTGTAGAGCTCTGTTCTAGTCATAACTCCTCCACAACAAATTCCTAAGGTCCCTAGACCTGAATTAACCCCTGCATTCTCTGTTCTCTCATTGAACTTTGCTTATCACTTTATTGTTACCTTTAAGACATAATTTCATTTGTATTATCTCATCTGTGAGTCTTAGTATAGAAGGGATAGAAATGTATCCATCTTGAAGATTCCCCCACTCTCCCCTCCCCAGCATTTAGCACTGGGCCTTGTTCATAGTTCACTAGCTATCCAACTTATATTTCAATTGAATTGTTTATTATTTTGTTAATATTATTTTGTTTCTGCCAATGACATTTTGAATTATTTGTATACAAGGAATTTGCTTGGCATTTATTTGTATTTTCTCAGTACTAGAAATTGTAGGTGCTCAATAAATACTTATTGATGATAGCATTTACTCATTTCCCTAAATATGCTTAATTCTTATGAGGCTTATAACTTACTCAAGTAAATACTTTCTTATCATGTAATGGCAAGGACTTTGCTTATTAATTGATTACATAAAAGGTGTAATTGGAAGCATAGTGCAAGATTCACCTCCTTATTCTTTTCTACAATGGAAACCAGCCAGTTTCAGACTTTAATAATGTGCATTTAATCAACCAAGAGATTTAAGAATGCTGAGGGCCAACCCCAGCAGGTCCAGGGGTCCCCAAAGTTGTGGACAGAGTCGGCAAAGAAGGAATGACATGGAGACAGTGTTCAGTTGATCAGCAGCCTAGCCAGGATCTCTAGCCAAGTTCTGGTTAGGAACTCCAGCCAAGTTCTGTGTCCATGTTCTCTTGCTAGGTTCTCCAGCCAGGTTCTCCAGGTTCTCCAGCCAGGTTCTGTAGCCATGTTCCCTCGCTAGGTTCTCCAGCCAGGTTCTATCCAGGTTCTCCTGCCAAGTTCTGTTGCCAGGTTCTGTCCAGGTTCTATTGCCATGTTCTCTCGCTAGGTTTTCCAGCCAGGTTCTGTCCAGGTTCTCCTACCAGGTTCTCTCGCTAGGTTCTGTCTCTAAGTTCTGTGGCCAGTTTCTGTCCAGGATCTTTTGCCATGTTCTCTCCAGCGAAGTTCTTCTGTCTCTAGGTTCTGTGTAGGTTCTGTGTCTAGGTTCTGTGTGTTGTTGTCTTGTTACATCTGTATTTATACCAGTTGATTCCAATCCTATCAATCTCTATTCCAAAGGTTAGGGCGTTTCTTATCTCCATTCCAGGGAGTAAAGATTATGTAGCTTAAGCATGATTGTTCGTAGTTAAAGTGATTAATTACCCGCCTGGCACTTAGTTAAGGGGTTTTATTCCCTCCCTAACTTCAGGGGAAAATCCCTACCCGGGGAAACAACCTTTCTCAGAGACCTTGGTTAAAACACATAGTGCCAAGAAGGTGAGCAAACATATTAAGAACAGTATGCCATATATGCCAGGTCCCTTGAAACAGCAAGGATGGACCGGCTCCCGGCATAAGAAGAGTCCTAAGCCTGTTATTTCTGAAGTTAAATGAATTTTACTGTACTATGTAGTTAACCAGATTTGTATCCATATGATAAATGTACTATGATGAGTATTATATTTAGTGGGTCACCTTTTTTTGTAGGGCCTGATGATGCACAACAAAAAATAGAACCTCATCACACAGCAGTGCTGGGGGAAGGTGACAGTGTCCAGGTGGAGAACAAGGTAAATATTAAAAATCTTTAATTGCCCTAGCCCAGTGATCGGCAAACTCATTAGTCAACAGAGCCAAATCTCAACAGTACTTCTTTGCCGGGGTCCAACCCCAGCAGGTCCAGGGGTCCCCAAAGGTGTGGACGGAGTCGGCGAAGAAGGAATGACACAGAGGCAGCGTTCAGGTGATCATCATAGCTGGGTTCTCTTGTCAGGGTCTCCAGCCAGGTTCTGTAGCCAGTTCTCCAGCCAAGTTCTGGTCTGGATCTCCAGAGAGGTTCTGCTTAGGATCTCCAACCAGGTTCTGTGTCCATGTTCTCTTGCTAGGTTCTCCAGGTTCTCCAGCCAGGTTCTGTAGCCATGTTCCCTCGCTAGGTTCTCCAGGTTCTCCAGCCAGGTTCAGTTACCAGGTTCTATTGCCAATTTCTGTAGTCAGGTTCAGTCCAGGATCTTTTGCCATGTTCTCTCGCTAGGTTCTGTCTCTAGGTTCTGAGGCCAGTTTCTGTCCAGGAACTTTTGCCATGTTCTCTCCAGCGAAGTTCTTCTGTCTCTAGAGAACGTTCTGTGTAGGTTCTGTGCCTAGGTTCTGTCTCTCTTGGTTCTGTCTTCTTACATCTGTATTTATACCAGTTGATTCCAATCCTATCAATCTCTATTCCAAAGGTTAGGGCATTTCTTATCTCCATTCCAGGGAGTAAAGATTATGTAGCTTAAGCATGATTGTTCATAGTTAAAGTGATTAATTACCCACCTGGCACTTAGTTAAGAGGTTTTATTCCCTCCCTAACTTCAGGGGAAAATCCCTACCTGGGGAAACAACCTTTCTCAGAGACCTTGGTTAAAACACATAGTGCCAAGAAGGTGAGCAAACATATTAAGAACAGTATGCCATATATGCCAGGTCCCTTGAAACAGCAAGCAGGGACCGGCTCCCGGCACTTCTTCAAAATAGACTCTCCCAGGCCGAAAACCGACTTCTGCGCATGGGCCACGAAGTTTCAGTCGCACTGTACGTGCACGGCGCACGTGGTATTTTGTGGAAGAGCCACACTCAAGGGGCCAAAGAGCCGCATGTGGCTTGCGAGCCACAGTTTACTGACCACGCCCTATTCGGTTTGGCTCAGTGGATAGAGCGTCAGCCTGCGGACCAAAGGGTCCCAGGTTCATTTCTGGTCAAGGGCATGTGGTTGCAGACCAGGGCCCTGGTCAGGGCTCATACAGGAGGCAACAAATTGATGTTTCTCTCACATCGATGTTTCTCTCTGTCTTTCCCTCTTTCTTCCACTCTCTGAAAATCAATGGAAACATATCCTTAGGTGAGTATTTAAATCTTTAATTTTTCTTAACTTGTATTTTCTACTACTTTGCAGGAAGATGCTTGAATCTCCAGTGTATCTAGAATTCTTTTTTCCTTCTATGGGCAGAAAAACTATGCCATAAGTTTATCAACCCCTTTTATTAACTTCTGTTATTTCTATGGGTTTATTTTAAGATTTTATCAATACTGATTTGTCATCTTCAAAAATCATCTATGTCCCTATTGTTTACCCCTAGAAATTTGAATCTGGAGACAACACATCTTCCTTGTCTCTTAACTTTCTTTATACAATTGATTTGTTTTTAGTGTAAGTGAAAATAGATCAGCCCTTTAGGAGTGTAAGCATCGATGTGCACATACTCACAGAGAGCCCTTTAGAAGTCACCCCCATTTTGAACCCAGAGAAACATATGATGCATTTTATAGTACTTTTGTGTGAAAGCCCTGCTTTTTAAGTAAAGTTTCTGATATTTAAGGAGTCTTAGGAACTTCCCTTCCAAGGTTACCAAGTTTCTTTCCTGTGTCTATTCATTCCCTTGAGTGATTCACTTACCCACTATCTTGTGTGTTGATGAAGCCAATCTGACTGCTTTGTATCATTCTAATAAAGAAGATTGAAGAGACAATTTTGCAAAAGATCCTGAAAAGATGAATTTTGAAAAGTAGGGATAAAAACTGTTTTCACTGTGCAAGTGACTGGTAGAGAGGCAATTTGACTGACTCTGGCCCTGTAACCCTGGTATGTAGAATGCAATGGATTTGTGGAAATATTCTATACTAGAGGCCTGGTGCATGAAATTTGTGCACTTGAGGGGGGTTCCCTCAGCTAGGCCTGCATACTCTCACAGTCCAAGAGCCCTTGGGGGATGTCGGATATCCTTAGTGCGCTTGCTAGCCATCAGTCTGGCTTCTGGCTAAGTGGCGCTCCTGCGTTAAGTGTCTTCCCCCTAGTGGTCAGTGCACATAATAGCAAATGGTCATTCCACTGTTCAGTCGATTTGCATATTAGCCTTTTATGATATAGGACTAGAGGCCCGGTGCACAAAAATTTGTGCACTCAGGGGGGAGGGGGGTCCCCCAGCCCAGCCTGAGCCCTCTCGCAGTCTGGGACCCCTCGGGAGATAACGACCTGCTGGCTTAGGCCTGCTCCTGGGTGGCAGAGGGCAGGCCCAATCCCTAGGTGCAGCCCCTGGTCGGGCTCAGAGCAGGGCCGACTGGGGAGTTGGGGTGCTGCCCCCTGTCATGCACAGAGCAGGGCGGATTGGGAGGTTGTGATGCCACCCTCAGTCACGCTCAGAGTAGGGCCGATTGGGGGGTTGGGGCACCGTCCCCTGTCACACTCAAGGCAGGGTCGATGGGGAGGTTGTGGCACCACCCCCTGTCATGCACAGAGCAGAGCCAATCAGGGGGTTGGGGCACTGCCCCCTGTCACTCACAGAGCAGGGCCCATCGGGGGGTTGGGACTCTGTACCCTGTCATGCACAGAGCAGGGCCCATCAGGGGGTTGGGGTGCCACCCTCTATCACCCACAGAGCAGGGCCGATCAGGGGGTTGGGGCGCCGCCACTCTCACACTCAGGGCAGGGCTGATGGGGAGGTTATGGCTCTACCCCGTCACACACAGAGCAGGACCCGTGGGGGGGGGGTGTTGGGGCGCCGCACCCTGTCACACACAGAGCAGGGCCGATCAGGGGTTTGGGGCGCCACACCCTGTCACACACAGAGCCGCAGGGCGATCAGGGGGTTGGGGAGCTCCCCTCTATCAGGCACAGAGCAGGGCTGATTAGGGGGTTGGGGTGCCTTCCCCTGTCACGAACAGAGCAGGGTGGATAGGGAGGTTGTGGCCCCGCCCCCTGTCACACACAGAGCCGCAGGGCAATCAGGGGGTTTGGACGCTGCCCCCTGTCATGCTGATCCTGGTGCCAGGAGGCCTCGCGGCTCCGCTGATCCCGGTGCTGAGAGGCATATTACCCTTTTACTATATAGGGTAGAGGCCTGGTGCATGGGTGGGGCTGGCTGGTTTGCCCTGAAGGGTGTCCTGGATCAGGGTGGGGGTCCCCACTGGGGTGCCTGGCCAGCCTGGGTGAGGGGATTATGGCTGTTTGCAGCTGGTCACACACCCTTCAGGGTGGGGGTCCCCACTGGGGTGCCAGGCCAGTCTGGGTGAGGGGCTGAGGGCTGTTTTCAGTTTGGGGGTGACTGAAGCTCCCAACCGCTCCTTTTTTTCTTTTCTTTTTTTTTATTCTGGGCCAGCTTTAGCTTTGAGGCTTGGCTCCAGCTCTTAGGCCTCCGCTGCTGAAAGTAGGTTTCTGGCCTTTGCTTACAATGTTGCGATCCTGCTGGCTGAAGCCCGGACTAAGCAGGTTTCTGGGGTTTTGTTTAGCTTCTATATTTGTTACATAGTTGCTTAGAGTTGCAGCTCAGAGGCCTGCAGCGGCAGGTGGGGAACGTTGGAGTCCTCTGTCACTGAAGCAAGGAAGCCTCATGTTATTTTCAAGCTGCCTGGCTGCCGGCCGCCATCTTGGCTGGCAGTTAATTTGCATATTGCCCTGATTAGCCAATGGGAAGGGTAGTGGTCGTACGCCAATTACCATGTTTCTCTTTTATTAGATAGGATTAGCCCATTTTCCTGGCAGCTCGCCTACTGCTGCCTTAATCATCTGTAACCATGAACTGTGAAGTAAATAGAAACATTAATGAGCACCAGATGAAATTCATATCTCAGTATCTATGCTCTCTGTTATTAGGTTGACCTTTATGAAACTGCCACTTTTGACATACAAAAATGGCAATTTTATTTCTTTCAACCCCATGCAGGAAAGAGGCATGGAAGCTACACATAGGCCAGAAACTACTGGTAGCAGATTCATTTGTAGCACTATCCTCTTTAACTTGACAACCTCAGTTCTTTGTATAATATAGCAGAGGGCACATTGTTAATGTTAAGTACTTGGAAGCTGAAATGGAACAGCAGAAAGAAATGCTAAGGGGAGCCAGAAAGATGGGAGGCAGCAGGATAGAAAAGAATCGGCTGAAACCATCAGTTTATTGATAAGCAGTGCTCCTAGCTCCGGGGCATCATTCTGTTATGTGCACTTCTGTAATTATTGCTGTGTATACACATATCTGAGCCATAAAGACATTAGAAAGATTTCTATGAACAATTTTATTTTAAAAATTAACATTTAAGTCTGCATGTTTGTTATATTCATGAAAAGTAGAAAGTCCCCTTTAAATTACAACAAAGAAGAGAATGTGAAGGTGTGAATCTTGGCTTTACCACTTGTTAGCTGTGTGACTTTAGACATGTTTCTTAACCTCTATGAGCTTCAGTTTCTTTGTCTGCAATGAAATAATGATGCCAACTGCATGGAGTGGGGGTGGGGTTAGAAAGAATATATGTGATTACATATGTTAAGAGTTGACTCTATATCTGGCATAGGGGTCAGTAAATTATGTCCAATAGGCCAAATTTAAACCATTTTGTAAATTAAGTGTTATTGGACTAAAGCCACACCCATTCATTGCTGTTTGTCTATGGATGCTTTCACACCGCAATGGTAGAGTTGAGTGGTTGCAACAGAGACTGGATACCACAAAGCCTAAAATATTTACTTTCTGGCACTTTATGAAGAAAAGATTGCTAATCCCTGGTCTGCTACATAGTGGGTGCCCAAAAAATGCTAGCTGGAAAATTCACTGACCTAAACACCTTATTTAACAAATTCTTGTGCTAGATACATGAGGATTCATACCGTATGTAGGCCCTAAGGTATAGGGCACGGAACAGTTTCTATAGCAAGCAAAAGGCACTAAAGGACCTTGATTCCCTCAGGCTCCAGCCCAAGGTTATCTTCACTTGGAACTATACTTAGCCTGAGCATTAGATAAAGAAGGAAAATGTGACTTCCCAGTGCTCCCCCCAATCCTATTTGTACTGACTTATGGTCAAGAATGAGGTGTTGATACACTCCTTGGCTTCCTTCTAGCACTCAGAGGGCAAGTTGTCTTTTGTTACCATTACTCTGAAGTCTTCCCTGGCAGGAAGCAACTACAGGAGGCTTGGTTTATGTTAGATGTAGAAGTCTTTCAGCCAGACCCTTTGACTTCTTAGAGGAAGCCCTAACTCCAACAATGGTAGGCAATCAATTCCTCATGGGATGCCATCAAAACCATACTTGAGAGTAACAACACTCTTTAACTGGCACCATTCATGGGGAATTCATTAAATTAATACAGATTAACATTTGATTAAAATAAAGATGGGAAGACAAAAATAAAACAAAGCACCCTATTAAAGTTAGAGAAAACTTTTTTGCTTATTTATGTGTAAAAATTCATAACAAGCTATGAATTTTTATTTTTAAAAAATTATTATTTTATTTTTCATCACCATTTATCTCCTCTATATTCTCTTACACCTCCACCCATGCCCCTCCTATCTACCACCATCACCACACTGTTGTCCAAGTCCATAAGTTCCCTCTTTTGCTTTTTGGTCAATCCCTCCACCCCTCAACACCCCCCACACCAGAGCTGTCTATATGCTCTCTATCTATGATTCTCTATTTTGAAAAGCCATTAATTTTTAAAAACTGTTAATAGTTCATTGTTTTGTCTTTTAATTGGCCTAAGCAGTTTAAACAATGAAATCTAGTAAGATCAATTGTATGCAATTAAGTCATGCTACAACTTGGTTTTTTTCTGGTAACTTTTTCAGGTAATATTTCACTATAATAAATGTTCTTGAAGCAAAAGCATGCCCTTAGATTCATTCCCAGAGTCTAATCAATCAAACAAACTATGAGTACATACTCATAGTGTAGAAGTTATCACCACTTTAAATGAATCATAGAGCCTTCATCTGGGCTTTACTAATTTATTGTTGGCATCGGTGGAACCCAAGACATATCTTGGCAATAAGATTTATGGCCTAACAAGAGCAATTCGTAAAAATAAATTAAGTAAACACAAAAGGGCCTAACTCTGAACTAGGAACCCTGAGAATGTACACCAGAGTAAAAACAAATAAAAAAGAAAACATGTAAAGAAAAAGACATGGTCTGGGCCCCAAAAGATCATGAATTATAGTTGGGGTAATTATACATGAAGCAATAAGTGGGACTCTCTTACCTTTGTATGGGGTCTTGCATCAAACCCCAAAAAGGCATTGACTTAGATCGACACAGGGACTCATGTGTTAAACAGGACTTTTATTCTCTGCTTTTGCATGATTTCCATCATTTGACATGATACTCAAGCTCACTCAACATACTAGTAAACAGGACTTTTCAAGATAACAGCAACTGGAACTTTTAACTACATCAGCACTCAACTGAATATCCAAAAAGATTATCAGCTTTCACTAAAAAGGCTAGTTAAGGAAAGAGAAAAGATGCATTTAAAAAAGAGAAAAAGACATAAAACATCTGGTTTAGGTTAGAGCAGAAGGGGCCGCTCAGAGGTTAATTTCGTGGAAAAATCATTAGAAGAATCTTGGACCATCCTTCAGATTTCTGAAATGAAAAACGAACCCCCTGAACGCCTCAGTACCCAGCAGTTTAATCATTTTTCATTTCAGACCAAATGCAAGTGTCCGTTTATCTTATTGTCCAAATTATAAATGGAAAGTCATCATTTGATTTGAGTAATATGTAAAGGAGCAAAACTTTAATTTTTAAAACATTATTATTCTAAAATGTATAAACTGTAGGACAAAAGATACATCTTCTGAATTAAAAAAACTTGCAGTTTTAAAAGTCAGTGCATCCATGACACAGATGGTCAGTTTCAAAGTCTTTAGAGAATAAACCTTTTTTGATAACTGTGCTTTTTTTTGCTTGAATTTTTAGTCATTTAAACATGGCATTAAAAAATCATTTCAGATAGAAACCTGCTCCTTTCCTGTGGGCTTAGAGTCTATTATGCACAATTTCACTTATTCATAACCTTGGGACATCAACATATCAGTGAGCTATAAAGTATGATGTAAGTGGACCAAGACTAATTTGATTTTTGGTGTTGATTTGTTTGAGTTCTTTGTAATTTTTGGATATTAGAGAATATGTTCTCCCATTCACTCAGTTGTCTTTTCGTTTTGTTGATGGCTTCCTTTGCTGTACAATTAACTATATATGGTTCCAGGTGGGTTCTTGAAATAACAGGGGGAACACTCTGTAAAGTATGTGATTGTCTAACCACTAAGCTGTACACCTGAAACTGATATAAAATAATATTGAATGTATACTCTGCACCTGAAACTGATATAAAATAATATTGAATGCATACTCTAATTGAAAACAAAATAAAAATGAAATTTAAAAATTACAGTTGGCTGTGCCTAAAGTTACCTTCATGGCCTTAACACAAATTCTGAGGTCAGCTTATTCTACTCCTTGTGCTCACATCTTCAGGTCACAGAGCCTTAGAGTAATTGTTTTTGAATGGGCACAAGTAGAACTAATTTCTGCCTGAAAATGACCTGAGCTTGGAGTGCTCCTACTTTGAAGAGAAATTTTATCTGGATGGGGAGCAACTGAGAGACTTCAGTAGTTACCAGGAAGTACTACTTTAAAATGGAATTTTTAGATGAATATTTAGTACCTAAATCTGAGGTCTGCCAGGTCTTCCTCTGTATAGATCTGGCTTGAAATAAAGAGGCGTGTTATGTTGAACAAAATGATATTGTTAGTGGGAAATTACAAATCCTATCATCACATAGTCAATTCATAACCAGGTCAGTCACACAGTTTGTCTTAAAGATGTTTCTAGTTAAGGAAACTCTTAATTTAAATTCTTCCTTATCTAAGAAGGTTAATATTTTCATAGTCTAGACTTATGTTCTAAATGCCACCAAAAATCTTAAGGAATAAGCCTTTCCATATTGAGTACTGCAGAGATAGTATATCTGGAAGTATATCTGGAGTTTATATTCAGAATTAGGAACTTTGTCCATTTGTCTAGCATGTTAACTTCAAATTATTCCTAATTTAATACCCTGTATAATAAAAGGCTAATATGCAAATTGTCCCCTCTACTGGGAGCTTGACCAGAGGGCTGGGCCGGTTGGCCAACCTCCTGTGTCCCCTCCCCCCGGCCAGCTGATCAGCCTCAATTGGGGTAGGCCAGACCCCACACGTGCACGAATTTGTGCACCAGGCCTCTAGTTTAAAAATAAGCACGTTTATTGACTGATGCTTTCCACCTTGACTTTAGGATCCTGAGAGAAGCCACTTCGTTCTAATTGCCGGGGAGCCATTAGGAGAACCAGTTGTCCAACATGGTAAGCCCAAAAGATATGTTCCTTGAAATCTCAGTTAATGAAGAACATTTTGTTTTCTTTTTTTTTTTAACTTTTAAAAATTCAGACGTTTAAGTTATTCTATTACTTATTTGTGCTTAAAGATAGCCACAACTGTATATCCACTACTTGGGAATGAATTAACTAAGGCCTTTGTTTCTTTTATCATGGAATGTCTTTAATTATGTGCCCACAAATTAAGTGCAGGGTGTCATAGATTGTTGGAATAGGGAATGTCCATAGTGTTAATTGTAGTCATGGCCCTTTTATAAGTGAGGAAAATGAAATCTCAATATTTTACTTATTTACATAGCAAATCCTTGGGTAGCATCTGCCATTAACTAGGATTGGTTGAAATGCTTTCTAAATATTAATACATTTAATCTTCAGAACAAACTTATGAGGTATATTCTGTCATCCCCATTTTCCAGATGAGGAAACAGAGATGCAAAGGTTCATTGGCTTGCCTGAGGCCACATAGTTGGATTTACACTCAGGCTTTCTGGTTTCCAACTACCCCTTCTGCCTTGCACAATGCCAGTTGCCCCTCACTCTGCCCTGTGGTTTCTCTAATGGGACACGATTGTTGGCAGTGGTGCTGGGATTTGAACACTAACTCCTGATCCCACGTTTTGTGCTCTCTCCACTATACCAAGAGTCTACATCATGAGAGATTAAATGCACACCATTTTTATTACAGAGGAGTTCAAAGGTTCAATTATAGAAGAGATGAAAACTGTAGTTTGAAAGAGGATTTATGGGATTATTGACAACTATCAAACATTTTTCTTATTTATAACCCTTATAGTTGATCAATGAAAAACATGTTTTCTGGAGAATGTAATGTACAGCTTGGCAATGATAGTTATTACTATATTGCACATTTGAAAGTTGCTAAGAGAGTAAATCTTAAAACTTCTCATCACAAGAAAAAAAGCTGTAGCTATGTAATGCATGTTAAGTAGACTTATGGTGGTGATCATTTTACATATATCGAATCATTATGTTGGATACCGGAAACTAATATTATGTTTATTATACCTCTATTTTAAAAATAAATAAATTGCCCTAGCCGGTTTGGCTCAGTGGATAGAGCGTTGGCCTGTGGACTGAAGGGTCCCAGGTTCAATTCTGGTCAAGGGCATATACCTTGGTTGTGGGCACATCCCCAGTAGGGGGTGTGCAGGAGGCAGCTGATCGATGTTTCTCTCTCATCGATGTTTCTAACTCTCTATCCCTCTCCCTTACTCTCTGTAAAAAAAAATCCATAAAATATATTTAAAAACAAACAAACAAACAAACAAACAAATAAATAAATAAATTTGGTAATGTAATAGAAAGAAAAAAAGAACATGAGAAAAAAGAAAAAGAAACACAAAACTTGCTTTCTGGTTTCAGTTTTCTTTTTCTGCTTGAGGATTTGAGGAGATAAGCTTCCTCAATCTGACTTTGGAGGGCGTCAAGCTTCCAATAATACATCCCTTGTTTCTCAAAGTGTGGCCTGTGAACTAGCAGCATCAGCATCATTTGAGAGAGAGTTAGAAGTGCAGAGTTTCAGACCCTACTCCAGACCTCCTGAATCAGAATATAAATTTTCATAAGATTCCAGTTGATTCATGTGCACACTACAAACTGAGAGGCACATCAGACTACCCCCAGAAAAGTGTCAAAATGGGAGCCCAAAAGTGCACTGATTTTACAGAAAAATAATTAAGGGATGAGAGAATTGTTCTACAAGTGTAAGCTATAGCAAAATTATGACATGCAGGAAATCTGTCCTTGGCCCTGTACCTGCTCTCATTTTCCGAGTTCCAATACTTTCCCCCATGTGTCCTTTCAAAACTTGGCTTCTCCAGGGTGCCCTCTTGGATTTATTATTTATTTCACACATGAGGGCTCTCTCATTTTTTCCTATGCGAGAGCATCCAAATCTCCAGACTCCAGATGAAAATTCTCTCACGAACCCCAGATCTATATTTCCAACAATGTACTAAGCACCTCTGGCAGGAAGCCATTTTATTGTCTCTAGCACCTTCATGTCAAAATATCCAGAACTGAAAGGCTCTACCCACAGCCTCCTATGGCCTGTATCTCAATTATCCTTCACAATCCCACCATCAGCCAGCCTTCCAGGTCAGACATCTTCTCTATCTGGATTCCAGAGTCTTCTTCAAAAACTGCAAATCAGATCATGTTATTCTCTACTTAACTCGGTGATTCCTGATCACCTGCAGAATTATGTCCAAACATCTTTCAGTAGATGGAATTCAAAGTGCAGAGGGGTCTGGCCTCTTCCTATACATCAGATCCCTCCAATTCTTTCCTCTGATCCTTCCTTCAAACACTGTGCCTCCATTTTCATTTCTTCCAACATGCTAATCCCGAAATGCCATTCCTTCACATATCCTGTTCAAATATCATCTGCTTTGTGAATCCTTTCCTGGACCCTTCTTCACCTTTCTGTGCTGATTCCATACATTTTACATATTTTTATCACTTCGTCTATCACAGTGCTTGTAATAATTTGTTTTCATATCTGTCTCTGTGATAGATTTGAAGCCCTTGGAGGGAGAGAGTCTGTCATTCATCTCTAACTCCTGGCACAATGTTTGTCCTTTAATAGGCACTCAATAAGTACTTGATAGATAGGTAATTGAATGAATGAATGAGTTAGAGGCTTTCTGCCTGTTTCTCCTTGTATGATCATCCTATATTCCTTGCAACATCTCCAAAGGCCTCAACATCATCAAAGCATATTATAGTGAGAGCCAAAGCCCTGATACGCTAACAGTGGTGAAGAAATTCTAAGTAATACAGTTCTATTTTAACTTGGGTCTCTCTGAGAAGGCCCCTTAAATGAGGAACTTTTATAAAAGGAATGCCAGGAACCTCTGCAGACTGGTAGAAGAAATATACTGAGTGGACAAATCTGTCACCTGCTTTTAAGACACTGTAAATGGCACCAAGGAGCTGGGCTTGTTTATCCAGGAGATCTTGGAAGTGTACAGTCGAGGACAGTGTCCCTTTGTCCCTATAATGTGTGAAAAAAAGGGAAGAGACAGACATTACAGACTTCTGCACTTTTAGAAAAACCTGAATTCAAACCTAGGAATTAGGCAAAGGGACCAGCAAACCACTTCATGTTTTTGTAAAGAAAGTTTTATTGGAACACAGCTATGCCTATTCATTTTCATATTGTCTGTGGCTCCTTTTATGCTTCAATGAAAGAGTTGAGTAGTTGAAACAGACTGATCACAAAATCTAAAATATATACTATTTGGCCCTTTACAGAAAAAGTTTGCCAGCCTTAGAGAATCTAAAATATGATGCTTTCTTGATTTGAAATTTTTATAATTTCCCATTTATTGTCAACAAACTGTTACTAGTCTTCAAAAATGACATGCCCGGCCAATGTGGCTCTGTGGTTGAGCATCAACCCATGAACCAGGTTCCTGTTTGATTCCTGGTCAGGGCACATGCTCAGGTTGCGGGCTCCATCCTTAGTAGGGGGCGTGCAGGAGGCAGCCGAGTGGTGATTCTCATCATTGATGATTCTATCTCTCCCTTCCTCTCTGAAATCAATAAAAACATATTTTTTTAAATGACTTAGACCTGTCATGTAAGTACATAGTCTCATATACTGTGTAGATACAAAATTAGGATGAGATTTGCCAATTCATTGTACCAGTTTGGTTCAATTATTGACATTAGCTAGTGCTATAAAGCTAACACTACAGTAAATCTTAAAAGTTCTCATCACAAGAAAAAATGGGTACTAACTAGATTTATTGTGGTGATCATTTTACAATATATACTAATTTAAAATCATTATATTTACACCTGAAACTAATATAATGTTGCATGTCAATTATATCTCCAAAAATAAGGAAGAAAAAAAAAAGCCTAACAACTAAAAAATGGCTGTAATAGAACCAAACCTAAGAATATTTTGAATAAAGGGACTGCAATTGTTGATGACAACTTTGCAATGGATGAATGAGATGTAATTGCCTTTGTTTATCTCAAGTTCGGTCTTTATAATCAAACACAGTCCTTGTCAAGAAACGTGTGCTACCATCCTCGGAGATTGGATGCTGTGAAAATAACCTTTTACTGTTCAGATATGCCTGGAATTGTTTCAAGTTAACCATTTCTAGTGGTAAAAGAACATGCTATCATCACCCAGAACTCTCTGAATGTCTCTTTCTGCCTTAGGTCCATTCGTGATGAACACCAATGAAGAGATTTCACAGGCCATTCTTGATTTCAGAAATGCAAAAAACGGGTTTGAAAGAGCCAAAACCTGGAAGTCAAAGATTGGAAATTAGTGAAGAGCGAGCACAGAAGCAGGTCTCGATGCTTTCTGAAATTTTGCCATTTGTCGCATCCATTTAGTCAATGCATTCAGTTTCCAAAACTGACTTAGCCAGTGCATCTGAGGAATTCCACAAACAGTGACAGCATTGTTTTTATAGCAATGTACATGAGATATTTCCTGGCACATACAAATAAACCTAACTGTTGCTTCTTTAAAAATCAGTATTCTTCCTTTTATGTATGTTTGTTTTTCATGTGTGTATGGATATTTTGTTATTTTTGTGAACGTCTGAGATTTTAAAGCATAATTGATTGCTTCTGTGTGTCACTAGCAGTTGATGCCTCATGAGCATCTGAGGTCCATTACTGAGCACTGCAATTTTCAATACAGAGTCATGCCTATGTGCAGAGGTTTCACATTACAGGTTATCTGCGTTAAAATAACAGCAGTCCTAAGCATTTGAGTCAGTTTTTAAAAACATCCTTGCTATTGGTAGGGATGTGACAGGATTACAGCCAAGACTTCCCTGCATATTCTGCCAAAATCTGTGTCAGATTTAAGACACATGCTCCTGCAAGCTTCCATGAGGGTTGTGAAAAGAGTTGGAATCCAGAATTGGGTTCCAGCTTTTCTGTAGCTGCAAACATTGGTGGCCACACCACCTCTTTATAAAGCAGCTAGAACCTGGGGCATAGGGTAGAGAGATTTTTTAAAAAAATTGCTGGGCATGAAATGGATTTAAAGTGCTTTCTCATTGCAAGGGAAAACATGTCCACCTCCTAATTATTCTTGGAGCATGAGAACATTTAAAATTTTTTTCATCTCTCTATCTGCATAAGATTGTGCAAAAACGTACCTTGATTAATCATTTCATTGGATTTTTATCACAATTGATTGTTTTTCCATGTGAAATCTTGGGGTTTCGAACTTTCCTTCTGGAGAATGCCTTTTGAAACAGTTTTCTCTAGCTACCTATTGTCAACTACTTGGTAATCAGTGGGTATTAAAGTGTTCAAAATGTACAGACAGTGGGCAGTGGTGAATATTTTCATGATGTTTTATCTGCAATTGGTGCAAGACTCCAGTGATGAACATGGATCAATGAAGGTAGGTGAGCTTATGTTTTAATATGATGTAGATTTTTTATTGGCTTACATGGAAGACTTTTCTTTTTTGCATCCTCTATTTGTTAATGAGTGTTCTGTTTCTTAGGCGTCCTATGATTCTTGCTATGCGTGTTTAAAAATGCTGAGGGGTGTTTGGGGATATAAAAGAATATGAACAAATATTCTGGAATCTTTTCAAATGGGCAAATTTCCCCTCAATTTTATATGTGGATGGCATAGTGATTTGATTTTCTAATGAAGCACTGACTTATTTTTGTGACACATAACTTTGTGGCCATTTATATTCAGGTTGTTTATGAGCACCAAATATTAGTTAATTTAGTTAGTTCATTACTTCTGTCAATGGAAACCTATGTGTTTGCCACAGAAGTTTTCTATCTGTTTTTCCAAATTACTCATTGCCACCATCTAGAAAAATATTTTCTTGGAAGTTAATTTAGTTTTTTTGCTCTTTGAAACGTGTAAAATTCAACAGTAATTGAATCTGTGATTCTATGAGCAAGCATTAGATAGAGCCCAATAGACTGAGGATAATGCAAAAATAAATAAACTGGGATGTTACTGACTGAGCAATAAGTTTTATGTATTTCATAGAACATATATTTTTTGCTTTTTATTTTGAAAATGATTCTGATATAATTGTTTTAACTGAAGCAGTGCTAAATCATTGTTGATTTAGGAATTTCTGGCTGAGAGCAATCAATCAAATGTGGCCTTGAGTTTTTGTAGCTGTTGTTAATACATGTATTTTTACCAGGGGTGAATGTGCCCCCAACAGGGGAAATTGGTCCTTGGGGCTGAAAGTCTTATTCTTGTTATGTATAAAGCACAGATAAACATGCAGTACATAAACAGATATGCAGTATATCTTTAGAGGGTGAACTCTGTGCTAGGGGTAGAGAGACACCTTGTCCAGAAGTTTACACTTTTCTAAATCTCCAGATTCCAAATGCACATGGGATAGGTCACCGTTACTCAGCTCCCCTTCATTGCCACCAGCCTCCATGTTGGACTTCAATGCCAGGTGGCAAGGAATCCAATTTTGAGCCTATTTAACAGGAGAGAGAAAAATCTGACTTGTTTGAAGCAAGTAAGACTTTTCAGACTGTTCAGCTTTTCTTACGTGCACAAAACTCAGGTTTAGATGTGCCGAGTTAATGGAGTTGCACTTTTACCCCCCACCCCCACCCCAGTATTATTGCATGGAGTTTTAAAATGTTCCCATTGTACTTTGAAAACATCAATGTATTTGATGGGACAGGAAGAGACTGATTTGTTGTAATTAAGTACTGTTCTTGAGGTTGTTCAACTCTTAAAGAGCACAGGTACCAATAATTCTTTAGGTGCCCTGGGCACAGTGAGGTTTTAAAAGTTTCAAATTTACTGCTACCATAGAAACTCATTTTAATGGGGCAACAGAGGAAAGCAGTTGAATTTGCATGTGACAGAAAATATGTTCTTCCACATGGAAGATGCAGCATTATATGCTTAATAATATTAATGATTTTCTTCATGTATATTATAATTTCCTTTAAAAAGTAAAGCTACATATATTCAGCTTATATTCACCCAATCCCCAGCTAAATTAAATATGTCTGTGTTAAGTAAAGATTGCCTATAGTTAAACAGAAGTTTTGGTATACATGTGACTGAGTGGTGAGGGAAGGATAAGGAGGTTTATCATCTATATATATAAAAGGCTAATATGCAAAGTGTCCCCTCGGGGGTTAGACCAGAGACTGAGAGTTTGATTGCTCACTATGATGTGTGCTGACCACCAGGGGGCGGCATGGAACAAAGGAAGGCCCCAGCTGGCAGCTGGAAGGAAGGCACCAACCAGCAGCTGGATAGCTCCGATTGGCCCTGATCACCTGCCAGGCCTAGGGACCCTACCCATGCATGAACTTTATGCACTGGGCCTCTAGTATTGTTTGTAATACTAGTCCTTCCCCTTCCAACTTTTTCTTATGAGAAAATCTAAAAAGAAATAAATGTTTCTTAGTATTAATGTTCCTCTTGTTTAAATCAAAGTTTAGTATGAAAGCATATTCAGGATAGTAGTGGTTTGGACACTGGGATATGAGTTTTATTTTTTGCTTTTTGAGATGAATATGTTTTATTTATTATACAACATTTTCAGGGTCCTCCTCAGTAGTAGGTGCAGGAGAAGGTTTTTCTCTCCACCCTCCCCTCTTCTAACCACCTCTTTTCCAGAATGGATGGCAATGCCAGTCTATTCCCAGATTACCCTTCCCTCATATTCCCCCATAGTCCTTACTTTCTGGTCTTAAACATTCTCCTGTTGTTTTTTTTCCAGCTTAGAATAAAGTTGCCTCTACTATAGTTACATGAATCTGTGTATACTTTTTTTCTGTAGCAACCATGTAAACAGCTGCTAATACCTTGGACAATTGTGCTTAATGCCATTTGAATATATGGCATCCTAATTTCATTACCCATGCCACTTGTACTCAAGAGAGCTGTTTGGGGTAAGCAGTGCATGGAATTTGTGAACTGAGATAAATATGTTTGAAAATCTCAACTCCAATCTGTAAATACTACTTAGCTGCTAAGTTTCTCAATCTAAGCAAAACACATTTTCTTCTAAAAATAAGGTTAACCCAATGCCTTTTTTATTCAATAATATAACCAGATTAACCATCTAGATGTGAGATCTATTTCTTTGTCTATTTTCTTCAGCTTTTTTATACAGATATCATAGTCATATACAGTTGAGCAGGGTACTCTAGGAAGCTCCATCCACATAGACCTATATATGTATGTGACAGTCCTGAGTACAATAGTGTAGATACACTGGGCATTTGGTAAATGAAATTCTCACTGTCCTGTCATTCACATTCTGGCCAGCACTATTTCTGGTATATTTGATACACTACTAGGGGAAGCCATCTTGCATAAATCTTTTCAAAGTCACTAATGCAGACATATCAATAGAGTGATGAAGAAATAATTCCAGGTCATGGTAGGCTTTCCCAACTCTTTTCTGGCAAAATTTGTTTCCTTCTCCCCCATACTTCCTTTTAGCCCCCTCTTTCTTAACTTCACTAGTAGAAGAATATTGCTGGGTGCTGTAGTCATTCAAATTCTACATAAGACTGGAATATGTCCAAGATCCACAGGATGTGGGATAACTACAACTTTCATGAGAAAGCTACATGGCTGACAAGACTTCATAAACTTTGTATCACTTGCCTTCTCTGGAAATTTTCTCTAAAGTGAATTGAATAACAAGGACTGAGGTGCACTCTTCATATTTAACTCCAGGAAGCAGACTCATACTGACTCCCCTCCCTATCCCACTTCCAAAGTCATTCACAGGAAAGTCCATTCACTTTGTTTTGTGTGTGTTTTTTCCAAAAACTTTTTACATTTATTTTTTTAATTTCTTTATTAATAAAGTTATTACATATGTGTCCATTCACTTTGTTCTTAGTCAAATGGCCCAACAAGCTTTTGTCCAATTTTCTATCAGGCACAGTCTTTGGCATAAAAGACATTTGAAATGTTTTCCATTAATTTCTTTATTTATGACCTTATCATTGAATGTGTTGAATTACATGCTTCTATACACCGACATATTCTATCCTAGGTAGTCACTTTTAACTAGTGGTTGAAGCTTTTATATCACTATAGCATATTATTGGTATTTAGGATACAGTAGAACCACCTGCATCTTATATCTTGAATATAGTACTACTTTGTATGACTTATTTTTTTAAAACATGATTTGGACTTGTAGATAAATATTTACTCTAGACCCCTAAGGCTTCTAGGAAAAATAATATTAAAGTTAAATATTGAACAACTTCCATTATGGAACCCCTCTTGGGATAGGTTTATAAAGATAATTTATGGAATGGAAATATAGTATTTGGACACATGGATGCTTCTATGTAGAACTTGACATAAGATCTGAAACTCCCAGGTACATTTAATATTTTCACAATTATTTAGAGGTACTAGGGAAATAGAGACACAAATAACAGTAATATTGTTTCTGAGCACATTTCTAAGTTTAACTCTTTTCTACCACTTGAGATTAGCAGAGAGGGTGGGAATCTGCATAACTG